GGCGTAACTCGGTTTCGAAAAGTTCAATCCGTGTGCACGCTAAAGGCGAGATTTGGAGATACGTAACACGCAGACCAACCACCCCTTGATCCGAGCATGATGAATGACAAGGAATTTTGTGTCCGCCGGATGTGCAGCCTAGCAGAACGTCACTAACAAGGTAATGAATGAATGGTTAAACACTCATTTATTTTCTTCAGGCATTAACTCCACGTACAAGTATATTGGACAGCTTGGCGGATGTTAATACACAAAGTTTTCTCTGTGTTGTTTTGATATTCTGTGCATTTTGCACGTCAAATGAAATACTATACAAGGTATACGTTTGATTACGGTTAATGAATAAAAGTAGTATTCTGTTACTTAATTGAACATTAAACGTATGCACGCGGAGGGCAAAATTTGCATCAGTGTACCAATTTGCACCAATTTCTTCGCACTTCCTCGTTCTTTCTCTGTACATTAATGTTTCTTGACAATTTCTTAACAAAATCTCCGTAAACACCGTTTGCGCTAATGATTGCTAGCTTGCCGCAGTCCACCGTACAATCACTGTCTTCTTAGCTGTTTTCAAAGTGCTAGGACACGTAAATGTGTGAGTACAGTAAAGTTGTCCAGAGCAACAGTGTGCGTACAGTATGCTGATTGCAACAAAACAATATAGCACTTCGCGCAAACATTGCATTCTAATATTTAAAGAATGGAGGAACGAAGTTAAGCGTTTCTCCTAGAACGGATTGAAAGATTTATCAAAATATAAAGACACTATTAAAAGAAAATATCTCTCTGTATGGGTAAAGTTGAAGACAATTTTTCCATAAGTAGTAAATGTAATGAGACTGTTTTCTGCGCGTCCATAGTCAGCAATGCTCAAAATCAATCCCCTCTTGTGTCTTCAATATTATAGCTTACCCGGAATGTCGATGACAAAAGCCTGTCGCCTTACGAAATGTGTTCGCAGGGGTTAAGAAGTCACCTTTCGCTGTGTAACAAACTCTTGGTCAGCTGGTTGTCCTCGTGCAAACGCCGCTGACCTTGCGGAACTTTGTATTTTTGCGCATAACCTTTTTTTCTAAACCTCAAAACTCCTCCAAATGTTACGACTTTAATGCGGTCTTTCTGATACACTACTTCGTATCTGCCGGTGAAGCCTCATAAAAACGTACGACACAAGTGATGCGCGTAATTGTCAGCTAGGAATCCTATGTCAACAAAGCTGAGATGGCTCATTATAACATCTGTTTGATTTGATTTATTTATTAAAACAAGTAAAAATGTTTCTAAATAATAGTAATAATAATAATAGTAATAATAGTAATAATAATAATAATAATAATAATAATAATAATAATATTTAAAAGCCGCGAGATTAGCAACACTTGTAGAAACTAGACATGTTCATTCCCGAGTTATAGAAAACTTATTTGCATCGGTAAACGAACTCCAGATTTGATTTTTCTTTATTGCTAATAACATAGTAACTAACCTCCAGCTCTACTCCATCACTTCAAGCAAACGGAGAGTTCACCGGGAGAGACGGCTCAGGTGATGGCATCAACGGTGTCACCGACGGTGGCAGGATTTTTAACACTAGCTTGTCGGCTAGGTCGAATTCAGTCGCTGTCTGAAGGAAAATTCTATCGGCCAGCTGCTCTGATCGGTAGTTTTCCGTGATTTCTCCAATGAATACCAGGCGAATGCCGGAGCAGTACCCTAACAAATGGGCCACGGACCACGCGCGATCTCCCTTTCCTATTCCAACCCCGTACACGCACACGCACACGCACACGTACGCACACACACGCACACACACACGCGCGCACACACGCACACACACACGCACGCACACACGCGCACACGCGCACACACGCGCAC